AATGGAAAGTTTAAGACAATTTTTTTCAAAACTTGAACGAGAAGCTGGCAAATAAAACATTAAAATATTACATATATTTCCAAGGGAAGAGATTTTTAAGATTGTGATCGCTAGTGAAATGAAAAATATTGGCAACAATAACTGGTGGCCACAGCGAGACATCTAGAACTAGTTCTAAAATAAAACGCTATTTTTATTGGCATCATATGACTAAAGATATTACAAAATATATAAAGTCATGTGAGAAATGTCAAAAAACCAAAGTATACAAGCATTTAAAACCGCAACTGTCCTGACACCAACCCTTGCAGCAGCCTTTGACATCGCATGTAGTAGTATCAAAATCAAAAAATCGGAATAATTTCATACTTAAAGGTAACCCTAATAAACGTCGTCTAAAATTACATAAGTGTAAACTTAAAAAATACAATTAAATGAAATAAGCAACTACAATTACGGTTATATTATTCTTACTATATAAGTGAATATAAATAAATGTGTTATTATAACAATAATATTTAAAAAAATTTTTGTTAATATACAGTTAAAAAAAATTTTTTTTTATTATAAAGTTTAAGGCTGACTACCCATAATTCATGCCAATAATTTCGTTCGTCACTGTACATGACGGCAATATATGCTGCGACTTCTGTTAGTCCTGCCAACATTTGTATATTATATACTGGAATATAGCCAGAAACATGTTAACGTCAAAAGTAAAAGTTATAAAAAAAATCTGTCTATAAAATACAACATATTTTAAATCCTTATTGAATTCAACCTTTAGAAAATCTTTAGACTGACGTGTTATAAAAGTTTTAAAGTTGGCGATCCAATCTAAAAGATTTTTGGGCAGAGGTAGAGGTATTTGCTACGCTTTTATATTGACTCGAAATATGACGTTAATGTCTTAAATAAAATGAAGTTCAATTTCTATAAGTCCTTAAAAAGCGTAGCCAATTATTGGTTTTTATCGAATAACCAGTTGTCGCCCTTTTAACATTAGAAGTGTCTTGCTACTTTCCTTGATAGTGAGATTTTTTTCGCGTTCTAACAATTTATACTTCCTTAACTGTGGTGTGTATGGATTTGATTGGCTCGTTGTTGAACACAAGCGTTGTGACGAATTTCAGATACTTTGTCTCGAATAGGTGTTACATAGCAACTTATTAATGATTGTTTGCCTCTGAACTGGAGTGTGCATTCAAATGGCATAGATAAAGGAAGTTTGTTAGCTGTGCTGCGTGAAATATGAATATTATCTGCAGTATTAACTTTGAATCGGTCAAATATTTTTAAAATCAAAATGTCCGGTGTGATGTGAAATTCAAGATTACCCGTGGAATCTTGATATATGTTTCAGAACAAAGAATATCTGTATAAGAAAAGAAACTCTTTGCTCTCTGAGAATAACGTGAGAAATTTTTGCCGAAATTCTTTTTTTTTTCAAATCTACTCTTTTTGTAGAGACATTTTGTAATGCATATTGTTTTACTTACTTACACTGATGAAGAGTACTTGGCAATACTCGAAACAGCGTTGTATGGTCAGCCAAACTTCAATCAAATTGAAATAAATTTTTGTGTTTGTCCTTTATTTCTTTCTTTGCTATTCAAAATCCCTCTATATTTTTTATTTTAGTATAATCAATATGTTTAGTAATATTAATGAAGAAAACTGGTTAAAATAAAAGTTATGTTTATCTATAAATTAAATCTCTTTATAAAATTATATAAATCTATACTTTACAATAAAATATGTGTGATAGATTCGAGTACATTAAAAGCAGTTTGTAAATTTATAAGTGATAAAAAAAAAGCATTTGAGGCAATAACCATATTTTATAATATATTTTATTATAATCCATCTTTAGTTTTGTGTTATTGTTCTGTTTTAGTTGCTAAATACTCATAGATTTAAATAATTTTAATTATTTAAATAATTTCCACATAGTATCGCCATTCACAAAAAGAATTAATATAGAAAAAGTAAATGTTTATAATATGTTTACTGTTTTGTTAAATATTTTTTAATTTAATTTAAAATAATTTTGGAATAAATAAATGCAATAAAAAAAGTGTATAGAATTTTAATTGAAAATATTCAAAAAATTTTACTACTAATTTTATTTAGCACATCGAAATACGAAGTGTGGTGAAAGGGGTTTTATAATTGATCATAGTGAATTTTTAGTCAGTATTGGCAGAGGAGTTGCCGGAGACAGTTGACAGTGGTGGTTGTGTGGATTTTTTTTTAAAATAATTTGAACTGAACAAATTAGGAAAATTTCTGTGCTCGAATTAAAACGAATAAATTATAAAAATTATTCGTAATTTAAATCACTTGCGTAAAATAATATTGACTCTTAAATTGTATCTTTAAAAGATTTTCCCTATATGCAGAAATGGCCCATAATGTTATAGTTTTATAATTCATCATCATTAATGCAAATTTATTTAAAAATAAAACATTTGCTTAACTTTTTAACATATGTATTTATTAAAGGCATTTGTTTAAAACAATATATTTTATTTGCGTACATAATGAATAATATTTATATAACATAAATTAAGTCTTTTTTGAATAATAAACTAAAAATATGTTGAATATATTATTAAAATTTGGGACTAGATAATTGTACTGGCTAATTATATATATTATATAGTATATTTACATATAAAAAATTAAAATTTAAAAACAAAATTAGAATATGAAAAACATTTGAATATGAATATTTTAATATAAAAATATAGTTTACATGCTCTCTTTTTACCTCCAAAAAATAGTATAACATTTTTGAATGTTTTTATTTCTTATTAGATTTTTCATATATTTAACAAACACAAATTAACACATAAGAAAACTTTATTAAAATATATACTCACATATATTTTTGCTTTACTAATTTGTATTTATACACATAGAAACAAACAAATCACATTAAACATAAAACATATATTTTAATTCATAATTAATAATTTATTGTTTATTTACCTTCTTTTGTCACTTTTAGGAAATTCATATATTCCCTTAAAAAATTTACATTCCACTACGCAATTCCGAACCATCTTCAAATATTATTAACTAAAATAATAATTGTTATTTATAAATGTTATTATTTTTTCAAAGGAACTTATTCACTACCTTTTATATCGTCGTGTAATTTGACTACGTTTTTCAGTTTTTGACGCGCATTTCTGCTGTCAAAAAAGCAAAACAAAACCCAATTTGCGCTCTTCATATTGAAAGCCGTTCATGGTGGTGAAACGTTTCGTTCGGCGTGGTGAAACTTTTCACTCGTGGTGGGTCGACTTACAACAACAAAACAACATGCTTGGTCTGGTAGTAGTAAATTATTTTGAGAGTGTATTGGTTGGTATTTTTGTTTACATTTAAGTTGCCGTTCATGTACAAGTATTCTTTGTTTCAGAATAAGCTTTTTGTTGTTAAAATACAGACATTTAACTGTATGCTTGTTTCTAAAGCGTAAACAAAACGCTTTATATCTAGCTTTGGAAGTACTTTCATCCTATCCTCAAGCCCATAATAAATTATAGACGTTTAAATTTATTGAATTTTCACATTTTTTGTTGATAGTGACAATAAGAATTTGTATATTTAGTAAGTTGTCAGAAATTATATCGCACATTAAAAAACAATGTATACCAAAAATATGTATAAATCGTACACAGTTTGTCTAAATTAGCATTGTGTGGATGTTTTTTTTTTTTTTTGAAAAAATGAAAAAGTATTTTTTATTAACTGATGGATGATTGATAATTCTTATTGTCACTGTCAACAAAAAATGCAATTGCAATTTGTTCTGAATATTGCAACATTTTTATTTTCTCTTGATTTCATTGATTGGAAATGCAATTCTAAACAAGAAAAAAACATTGAAATTTTTTTTATTCTTTAAGAGTTTTAAGAAATTGTTTGTATCTGATGAGTGTGGTCTCATCAATTTTTTTTTTATTAACAATTGATGCAAAAAAGAATCGTAAGATGAAATATTAATGCCAGAATATCCAAAGTAAGTAGGCATCCTTTTGTTATTTTATATAAATGTTTTATCGCTGTGTAGGTTGAGGAGCGTGATTGTAGTTGTATTGTTGTTGCAGTAAAATGGATTTTTTTTAATGGCTGATGTTGAAAAATGAATGTTAATATTGAAAAATTAACACGTTATGAATAACAAATTCTAAAATGATTGTACTACTGCCTTTTAACTTTTTCGGATGGTGGCTATAGTGGTTAGCTGTACCATATACTCTACATGATAGTATTCTTTCTAGTTGAAACCTGAGACGAAGCAACGTTAATGTGCTGCAAGCATTTATTATAATAAGTAGCATCTTGTTTTATGTCAGATGGATTCTTTTTATAATTTCTTATGACATGCATAATCTCTGCTCCAGTGTTTCTTGTGCTTATTGCTCTTTGCCTTAGCATCAATCTAACTAATAATAATTGAACTGACTTCCCGGTCAAATTTCAACTTATCGAAGCTTACTTTGTCAAATGTCAAAGGCGCCTTCGATGTCCATTATGATGGTCATCGATATGCCTCCTGAAGCTCTCTCTTAGCTACCCTCTCGACCTCGTGCTGGGCAGACTCTGTAAATCTTTCATTATTAGCTTTTCCATAGCTTTAAGCTTGATTGAGGTATAGCTGACTGGTCTAAATAACTTTGCTTACGTATAATCCTTGTTTCCTGGCTTGGGTAAAAAAAGTCACGCTTGACTCCCTTTAAGCCAGTAGGAGTGTTATTATTTGTTAAGCATAAAAATTTATTTTGCGTTTATGTAAATATCATGCCAATCAATTTAAGGGTCCGCCGTAAATATTGTCTCCATTGGCATATTGGGATTGCGTTTAGGAGTTCTATGGGTACCAACAAAAAATAACAAAATGTATATATTTATTTATATATATATAGAATAATATATAGTTTTTTTTATATTTAAAATATAAAACTTACTTGTTCTTTTGATTCTAGCAAAACAACACAAAGTGTAAATATGGATCACAAACATTTGCAGAATGGATTATTTTTAAGGGACTTTAAAAGAAGATGCTTCGAAAATGGGGATAGTTTAACGCCGCCATAATGTAATAATAAAAGTATATTATTCTTATTGATATAGTTAACAATAAATATTTATATAAACTTATTTGTAAATAATGGAAAAAAGAAATAATGAACTATTGTAAAAATGTTTTTAACTTATAAAAATTCGCATAATTTTATATTAAAAGGAATATACAGAAATTTCAATATAAATTATTTCTTTTAAATTTCTCGTTTACCAGGGGTTGTTGCAATATAATTTATAGATAAGAAACGGATTTTATATGGCCCTTTGTTTTTATACAGAAATTAAAATAGTTAACCAAATTTTTATTTAATTTTCTTTATTGTATATTATGGTTTTATTTACAATATAATATGAATTTTAAAATTGCTCTAATGAATGAATTCGATAAAGTGGAAAGATTCAACTATTGTCGAAATTATTAGGGTCAGTGTGTCTATATAATGAACTCGATCTTCAAGGTTATGTACCATATAAAGCTTCAATAAACTCTTTAAAATATATTTAATTTAAGTTTCAACAAGCTGCTTGTTATTACGAGGGCGGTTTGATGAGTCAGTGACTTTTTGAATTTCCCGCGCAGTTACCCCAAATGTAACAGTGCTGCCGTCAGTTGTAATCTACCAGTGGGCAACTTTCTAATTTTGAGTAAACTACATCGTTCATTTGGTGTTTGATAGCCGTTCGTGAATTTTTACGAAAATGGTAAAAAGTGAATGATAGTGAAAAGTGAAATGGTAAAAAGTGTGCTGATTAAGCATTACTTTTTACGTAAAAATTCCATCACTGAAACTAAGGAAAGACTTGATAAATACTACTGGGACTCGGCACCATCAATTTCAATGGTTAAGAAGTGGTTTACAGAGTTCCGTTGTGGTCGTACCAGCACTAGTGACGCCCAAAAGAAGTGATCACGTATAGCATGTATACACTTTGTATATATATAATTCTATAAATGCATATTAAGGTGCATATAAAATAACATTAAATGGTTAACGTACAGTGTTGTGAATGTGCCTATGCAGCACATTCCCATCATTGACTTTAGCCATATCCAAGCAGCCAGAATGCTTCAATATGAAACCTCACTTATGTGAGATAATAAAATGTATACATGCTCCTCTGCTGTGTTAGTGCTTGCCGGCGTACTAACACAATTATGTAGTTGCTAGTTTTAAGATAAAGTAAGAGAACAATTTTAATAAAGAATCATACATGCTTCTGATATCTGATATTCTCCAGATTTAGCCCCCTACGAAAATTTTTTGTTTCTAAACCTAAAGAAATGGCTGGACGGTAAGAGATTTGAGTCGAATGAAGAAGTCGTTGCCGAAACAAACACGTATTTTGAGAGCTTTGAGAAAACCTATTATTTAGAGGGAATAAGAAAATTAGAAAAACACTGGACTAAATGTAACGAGCTAAAAGGTGATTATGTAGAAAAATAAAATGTTTATTTGCCAAAAAAAATTTGTTTTATTCAAAAAGTCACTGACTTATCAAACCGTCCTCGTATATAGCTTCAGCATGATGGGTTTAAGTTGGAAATTATATCAAATCTGGAAACACGCGAAGAACACAATGTAAAAGAAATGAGTTACTCCACGAAATAAATTCTCTCTGTCTTTTTCATCTTTCAAACGAACAGGTGTTATAAGCCCAGCAAGTTTCCGCGTAGCTTAAATCGAATGAAATTAATTCGTCGTGAAAGAAAAATTTTTTAATTGTGTCTTACAATAAAATAAAAACAGTTATGAGACATTTTGGTGATTAGTGGATCCGAATTAAGCCATATAAAAAACTGTAAATGGGCAGAAGAAATTTGGAACAAATTCGAAAGAGTGTAGCAGTCAAAAGGATCGTCTGAAGCAATTTTTTGATATCATGGATAAACTTAAAAATAACGGTTTAGAAATTCTAAATGACTTGCTTGTTATTTTATTATTATATAGTATACCAGAGAAATATGAAACTTGCTGGACTTGGAAATATTAAAAATGAAAATGATTGAGAACTTCAAGGCAAGAAATAGAAGCAATAGTGAAACTGGCGCTCTTTTTACAAATGCAATAGAAGAGAACAACAAAAGTACAAATATGTCATGTGGTGAAAAGGGACAAAGCAAGTGAAGGCAAGCACAAGAAAAGTAGCGAAGAGAACGAAAAATATGAAACTCTGCAATGTTCAGAGGTGACTATGTGTGCAAATAGTAAAAACATATTATGATAACATGATTCTGGTGCGTCATTGCACATGTGTTCTACAAAAGCAAAATTCAATAGTTTTAAAAAACCACAAGCAACTGTGTGGCAAATAGTATTGAAAGAATTGAAAGAGTTGGCAACGTAAACATTAAAATTGAAAATGTGACAATGGTAACATTGCAAATTGTATTGTACGTTCTTGATCTCAGAACAAATTTACTCTGTTTCGAAAATGTCCGAACATGGTTTTAAAGTAATTTTTGACAAACATAAAGTGCATGTAAAACGTGTAAGAGTTAACACCATACTTTTTATTTATATTATTCCAATGATATTACAACTATCATAGATATCTAAAAATATTTTTAACAAATGAAATTTCGAAACTTGAGTCATTTTAAATCATCATTTAGATAATTATTATATTATTTATTAATAATATATATTTAATGCCTTAGTTATTATTTTTTTTTTTTTGTGAAGTAAAGAATTCAACTAATTTAATACTTAAGTAGGTTGGAAGTGTATGTTTTAGACGTTTTTTGTATCCTAGTTCCAAAGCAGGAAGTCTTCTCATTTCTAAGTTTGCGTGCTGAAGCAATTTAGATAAGTGGTTAGCATTGCTTTTTGGAATTGTTTCATGTACATTAAGACTGAAAAGTTTTCGGAAATTCTCATTTAAAATTCGCGCGCTGTATATTTTTCGATATTTTAAGTTTATGTAGTTTGGCAGCACTGTCCTTAATTACTATGCCAAAAATGAGCTCGATCTGTCAGACAGTTCGTTTACGGCAGCTGTTGAAACCAGTTCACCTCAGTAGTGCGTTGCGAAATGTCTTCGACGGTCGTACGACCGTCCTGGAAGGCTTTGTACCACTCATAAACTTGAGTTTTCGATAAAACTGATTCCCCATAAGCCTTTTGTAGCATTCGCAACGATTCTGCACACGAAATTTCGTTCGAAACACAAAATTTGATGCAAACTCTTTGTTCAATATTTTTTTCCATTGTTTTTTTCGCAACGCCCTACTGAGGTGAACTGGTTTCAACAGCTGCCGTAAACGAACTGTCTGACAGATCGCGCTCATTTTTGGCATAGTAATTAAGGACAGTGCTGCCAAACTACATAAACTTAAAATATCGAAAAATATACAGCGCGCGAATTTTAAATGAGAATTTCCGAAAACTTTTCGGTCTTAATGTATAGTAGGAGTTTTCAGGTCTTTGTGAATATCGTCGTTTCTGATGTAGGTACCATCTAGCATCTACGCGCTCAAGTGTTAACTTCTTTTTTAAACGGTGTGCAATGGAATATGGCACGATTACTACTCTTTGTCGCTTTCCATAAGGAGTAATTTGTAACCTTAGTAGTACTCAATCTTGAGATAAAATTTAACACATTGTTTTGTTTTTCGGCCTCTAAAACTTCTTTCAGCTCTTTTGTTAATTTGTTTAACTTAGTCTTTATTTGAGGAGCACTGGATACTTTCCAGTTCTTTATCAACTTTTTTTTTGTTCTATTTCATATTTGATGTGATTCTGGATAGGTATTACATTTTTGGTTTTAGTTATTGGTGTAAACGCAGATGCTGCAGATAATAGTAGAGTATTGAAATTGATTTTTGCATTATTAATTTTTCCTCTTCTGTTCTTAAAGCTACATTTATAACTGATTGTTCTTTTCTTAGCTTACGATATGTATTCCAACACGTTTTATTATTGTAAGTATTATTGTTCGTATTGTTCATATGAGGAATTGTGCTGTGAACTAGTACTATCGGTGAGTGGTTTGAGGACAACTCAAGGCTGAAATAAATGGCAAGGTTATTTACATTTATGTTTTTGGTTATACAGACGTCAATCAAATCAGGCCAGTAGGTTTGTTCAACGGTACTTAAAAATTTTGCTTTAAATTCACTCAGTGCAGTGTAAAGATTTTTGACCTTTGCGTTTGTTAATCGTGATCCTAATAACGTATTTTTTGCGTTGAAATATCCCCCGACTATAAATCTTTGACCAAGAGTGTTAAGTATTACGCATAACCATAAATAATTTATTGTCTTTTGCTGACCGATGATAAAATGCGTGTAACGTAATTATAATTGCTGATTATTGTTTTGGTTAAAAATGCATGTAATATAGTTATAAGTTATATTTTTGCTGATTAGTGTTTATTCAATAATTAGGTCTAGAATACATTTTAAGTAGTTTATTATTCATTGTTTTGCTAAATATTTCATGTATTTTGCTTGCTATTAATTATTTATCGTTTTGCTGAATATTTTATGTTTCATTATTTTTTGCTTGATATTAATTATTATAGGTCAGTAAATTATTATACGTGATAAGTAATTATTGTAAGAAAAAATATATATAAACAGATAAATCAATTATTCAAAAAAATTCATTCGATGATACAAACTTGAATCAAACTCATCTTTCATTTATTCTTTTCATCAAAATACTAACGGGTTTATGTGCTCGGTGGTATATTCATAAAAATAAAAATATAAATATACCGTCCAACAAGTTACATGTGCTTGGTGAAATATCGGTATACAAATACCCATTTATAGAAAATTGAGGATAAACGCATCCCCAACAAAGAGATTTCAGGATATTTTAATACGTGTCTTTGGTATTTGAGAATTTTGAAGGACAATAAACAGCAAAAATTTTAATAGAACATGAGAATGAATCTTCAATCATTATTTTGGTCGCTTGTATTTGTTCTGTACTATGATTTTCTGATTCAGAGCTAACTAATACAATTTTTTATGACGATGGCAGTTCCACCGTGTCTCTTTCCGTCGGGATGGTTGGTTTGCAATATTGTATAATTGTCTATTTTAACATAGTTTTTTTCAGTAAAATACATTTCTAAGGTTATTAGTTTGTCGATTGAATTTGAATACAGAAAAGTTTTCAATTCATTGACATGTCTACTGATACCGTTTGCATTCCATGCTACTATTTT